CCCCAAAACCCCAAAACCCCAAAACCCCAAGCTGAAAATTGTAAATTTAGATTTTAGAATTTACTAAGTAAAATTGTATAATGATAAACCAACTATGCTCTATTCACATGAATTTGAAAGTCCTATCTATTAAATCTTAGTTGATCATTGCTTTTAATCCTTATTTTTTCTTTCAACCCAAGGATTTAGGAGTTTTCCAAAGGAATATTCAGTGTATCTAACATAGCTGAAGTCCAAATCTGCACAGCTTACTTTCCAGTTATTATTAGCATCATAACTCTCACAATACATAGATTTCCTACACTCTTTGTCACAATATTTTAAAGATTCTACTCCATTCTTCCATGTATGCCTATATTATTATTAAGATATTAGGATTACTTACTTGCTATACTATTAGGAAATGTCTGCATCTTCTAAGAATCTTTCTGATAACCTTGAATACTCAGCAGGTCCAAGATTTTTTAATCCAAAATCTTTTTTCATATCTGTTAGTAATCTAAATCTAAAGTTTCCACTATTCGCTTCATCAAGATTAAATTCATAAGTTTTTTATTCGATTGGAATATGATATTTAGCGTGCATTGTGTATATTCTTACAGAAGGATTAACTAAGTTATAGGTTCCAAGTGCTCCAGCTGCTTATTCAACATGAATAGGTTTCTTAGATTTAAAAGCTCTCACAACATCATAAAGCTCTCTATGATCATGTCCGTACATAGAAAATCTAATTATGTGTTAATATCTCTCAACTAGTGCTTGATATCTATTCGACCACTGGGTAATACAGTTATAATCACCTGGTGACATATGAGCAGCAATGATTATGAGTTCGTTATCCTTCTCAGCTTGAGCTAAAATTTCCTCAAGCCAGGCTAGTTGCTTAGCAGCATCATTAGTCTCATTAAATAGTCCATAATTGTACATATAGCAAGTTTAGCTATTCATTCCTAAAATTGATGCTTTTTACCCAGTAATGTCTGTAATACTCTTTGGCATATCTGTCTTATAGTATCCATATTCAGTGAATTTTTAAATAGCATCATTATCTGATAAAAACATTCGCCAAATCTCACTAATTTGATGCAAATGGTCAGTAAAGGTAGCATTAAATGCCTAATAATTGGGTGGATAGAAATCATGGTTGCCTACTGTTGGAATTACTGGAGTCTCAGGGAAATAAATCTTAATCAGTTTGCTGAGTGTATCAATTGTCTCAATAATCTCTAATGGTGTCACATTGTGCAAATCGTGTCCTATTTAATCACCTGTCCACACAATCATGTCTATTTTTTCATCAACCATTTAAGACAGAAGCTCCATCTATTTCTCTGCTGTCACATAAGGTATATCACAAGTGAACTCTCCATATTTCCTAGCTTTTTCTTTTTCCTCTGTCGGAAATCCATGTTCAGCCTAGCAGCAGATTTCATCTCTACAGTTTCTTTTAGCTCCTTCTTAGTATCTAAAATCTACATGCCAATCTGACATATGCATGATCTTATACGTTGGTGGGTTTGGCTCGTTTTCTTCAATGTACTTATAGAGATTTTCGATATAGTCATCATTTTATATCAACTCAGGTTTATCTGCTAGAATTCTATCTATGTACTCATCAAGTTTAAGAACTTTATATTCTTTGTGTTTATTTTCATCTCTATCACAAACTGGGAATAGATAAGAGCAAACAAAGTCTCTCTCTAGAGATATTTCAAAGATATTGTCAAAAATCAATGTCATGAACAAGTTTGTCATTTCAATACATACTGTTGAAGAGTACTTATTCTTGCACAGATTAGATATACCCGCTATAATAAGTTATCTATTAAGAGGCTCTTAGGCTGCATCAAAGATGTTATCTAGAGTAGTCTAGCAAGTGTAGCAGTTGACAAAGAACTATAGTTCACTTGATATTTTAGTATCATTATTCTCCTAAACTCCCTCTAAAATTGGACTAAAAACCTTTCTAGCCTGATTCTTTATCTTGCTAAAGTGTTTACCAAAGTGATACTTCATATTTTCATTAACATCAATAGCTTTTAATTGCTATCCTGCACTCATTACATTCACCTCTTTTTATAGCAATTCCAATCGTTTTTATTCTTTATATGAAAGACTTTAGATCTCAATTATTATATTCGAAAGTAATAAGATAGTAATGAATAGTGTTTTCCTACAAGACTTTGATTTCGACATTAATAAACAAATTACTAGTATATTAAATAAAACTTATATTTGTAAAATAGAAAGAAATTTAAAGCATGGGGTTTTGGGGTTTTGGGG